TAGGAGGGTGCACCACCAGCATATGTCTATGGCACTGTTAAGTTTGATGCATTAGCTACATCTTCGTGTTTCTTTTTCTCTTCAGTTACGTTTAAGCTGTTCTCAGGACCCCAGTGGGATTTGTGAGAACAAAAGGGAATAAAAAAAGGAAAGGGAGAAACTAGCAACAGCAAAAAATATTCTAGAAGCAGTGTGGGGTGATAAAAAGACAACTATTCTAGTGTAGTAAAGGGGTAACCATAGGAAGTCAGTGAGATGGGGAACAAGGCCAGAGGTGACAGGCAAAGGTGGACAAGGGCTGAGTACAACATGCTGGAAGACAGAGCTAGACTGACAATGGCAAGTGTTGGACATGAGGTACATATGGTGGTTCATGATGACGTGAATTTGGAAAATTAAGTGAAACAAGAACTAACGTTTTTTTCTGTCATCCGTATTTGCAATCACCTTTTACAGACTGTCTGATAATAGTTACCCAGTTTCACTACATATTTGAAAATAAACTAGGGGGTTTTGTTTAGTCTGTAACATCATCATTATTCAACCTGTTACTTCAAGTCGTTTAATTTCATTCTTATCTGTTTTGACAGCTGAATCTTATCTTCCTGGTGATCACATTGTGCAAAATGGTGAAGCACTCAAACACTTTGAAACCAGACTCTAGCAGGTTGGAAAACATTAAGTAAGTGCTTTGTGTTCAAGTATGAGAACTATGATTATTTTCTGATTGCTGAACTGATTGAAAGCTACTCTCCATTAGGAGCACATGCCATTGTCTCCCAGCAACTGCAGATGTCAATTAGAAGCAAACAGAGCCAATCCTGCTTTCGTCACATTGTTGCTGTAATGTCACAAACGCCGGTCAAAATTAGATAATTTCAGCCTGGAAGTAGTGCCAAGAAACTGTTTCACGGAAATGCCACACCACTGTAGTAATTTCATTTGCATTTAAAATGCAGTTCAAAACTGATGTTCCTGTTTGCATGGCTGATATGATTATATTAAGTTTGTTTTGTTAAATGACTTTTTGATTTAGGGATTCTGAGCAGTTTCTACTTGTAATCCTGTTTTCCCAAAAGAATTGACTCTATTATTATTGTTAACTTGAAGATTATCTGCTGTTTTCATGCTAATTTAACAAATGTTTACTTTATCATGGTGCTGTACTGCAGTATCCCTTTTGCAAAGTAATATATCATTAACAAGGCTTTGGCAGCTCTTGCTTCTTTAGATAGTCTTTTGCTGCATTCTATATAGCTTTACGTTGTACTGAAGGTGTTTGTTACCAACATTGAAGGGTGCAACTTTCTAACGCTGAGGGTTGGATATGAAAGAGTCTTACAGATTTGCTTTGAATGTTGAAAATGGCGAAGGGAGATTTTCAGTCAGGCTAACATTGTGAACTAGATGTTCTAGATAGGTCAGTATCAGCTTCATTGCATGTTGCATGATGAGAGAGAGCGCTAATCTTTAGCATCTCTCTCTTTTCTTCCTTTTCCTCTTTCTGTCTTCTCATCCACACCAGTAATTACCGTGTTTGTGATGGCTACTATAATACGGACTTACCTGGGTAAGATAGAACCCTACATTAACAAATTTTTAGCATGACTTTTAACTTTACAAACTCGGTCAATATTGTGGATTTCCCTTAATTTTAATTAACTAGTTTTGAGATACCTGATTTGCTAAAGAATTTTTAAATATTATATGCCTTTATAATTTTAAATTGCTTGCCTCTGCATTTTGAATTCCTAATTTTGACTAATTTTTATAGACAATTAAAAATGCTCTTATTAATTTCTGTTTCAATTCTGTCTAATAATTTTGTTTCTCTTTTCTGCTTATAATGCTTTCTAGCTATGAAGATAATAAGCCATTTATCAAGTAAGATCATTAGTTAGATGTGGAATTCACTGACTAAATTCCCTTTCCCTTTCATTCTGTGCCGTTCTCTACAATTCCTTTCCCTTAACCTATTCATGATGGAATCTTTTTTTAGACTATTCTGTAGAGCAATATCCATATTTTTGTCACATTTCAGCAGGGTTTCTTCATGCGGAAGTTAGATCATCTAGCTTCAGTTTAGCTGAGTTTATCAGAGCATTAAAGATTTGGGCTCTAGGCTTTTAATCTGCTGTTTAACCTTTGTGCATTTGTGTTACATTATTTGGTGTCATATGGCAACACCACTGTTTAAAATCTATGGTGTGATTAGTGGCTAAGCCAGATTTATCAGTCTCTTTTCTAAAAGCAGATAAAGCAATGGAGTAGCTGGGAGTATACTTCTGCATTTCAAAATAGCTTTGACATCCTATGCAGTTCTTGAGAAAGAAAAAGGTCATATCTACTCTTGCTGTTTTCACTGGAGACTAAGAGTACTAAATGGAATTGTTCTTTCTTTAATAGATAAAAGGTTAAACCCAAGGAATTTTTACATTTGAATATGAACCTAGTAAAAGTCAACTGCAGGAACTGAAATGTTAATATTGGATTTAGTGACATGCATTCTCAGAAGTAATGTTACTAAAATTAATTTTCTTTTACAGATCCTGGGTCCTGGGTGCATTTGCTCTCCTGTGTCTCCTTGGCCTAACATGGTCATTTGGCCTGCTGTTTATCAATGAGGGGACTGTTGTGATGACATACCTCTTCACAGTATTTAATGCTTTCCAAGGAATGTTTATTTTCATCTTTCATTGTGCTCTTCAAAAGAAAGTAAGTTACTGAAAACACAGATGTGTGTTCCCTAACTCCTTAAAAATACCACATAAATTTCTTAAAAAATAGAGGAAAAAAAAGCAATGTCAAGAACTGGAGTATTTTGAAGTAGTTTGAGGAGGGCACTAGGATTCAAAAGCAGTTCTTGCTCTTTGTGCTCGTGGGAGTCATGTCACTGCTCTGTGGCCTGGGTGGGTTTAAAATGGATGCAGCACTTCCAGCCTGGGGTTGAAAAGTTTTGAGACTTTGGGAAGAAAATTACTGTGGAAAACGTACTGCTTAACATTGGTAATGTGGTATGTGTTAGTCTGGACTTACAGCCAAAAGTCTTTTATGTGTGCATGAAACAAATCCTGCCTCTGCTGCAGCACTGCAAACAAAGGATCATTTACAATATCAGCCCATCTCAGCCTGGAAACTCTCTCTCTTTCTCAGATCAAGGCAGAGGACCTCTCCTGAGATCCCATTAAGCTGCCACATAAAGCTACAGGTGATAGACAGGGATTGTACTATGAGTGCTTGTTCACTACAAAATTAAGTGAGATGTAAAATTAATTTTGTTATGAACTTTGACACACCTTAGAAGAAAGTAGTCATTAATGCTAGACAACTGCTAATGGGGAGAGTTTTCCAAAGATGCCAGCATAACTACTTTTCTTCAAGTATTTGCCTCCCCCAGCAATCCAACAGCTTCGTGTTCTTAACTGGAAAAACTGGAATTGCCTGGCAGGAGCCTTACCTCAGGAGTGGGATGTGCTAAATTAGTTCTGCTCCCCTTCGCCCGATGGGAGCAGAGGGCTCCAGCAGATCTGCTGGGAAGAGAGAAAGCTTGCAGGGAAGAGAGGAGCAAACAGGAGAGAAGGAAGTGAAAGGCACAGCTGTGTGCTCTTTGGGTTCCCCGCATCCCTTCACTTCCCGAGACTGAGGGTGGAGACTGCTTCCAAGGATGCCTTAGAGGTGCTTTAGTGAAGGACAAAAGAAAAAAGCTCGTAGCCTGTGTTAGAAAGCGTGGCAAGTGAAAGTAACAAGAATTGAGAGGTAAATGTTAAAAAGTCCCACCCAAAAAACCTTAACATAAAATGCAATACATCCTACGTTTGGAAATACCCAATTTGCAATATTTAGATTCTAAATATTTTTACCAGTTTTAGACTGGAGACCTAGCAATTATTAACTCCCATTATAATTAGCTCACCAGAGACATAATTAACAGATATTTATAAAATTGTTTGAGACCACTGGATAAAGCATTGCTGTGTTGCTGCTGCAAAAATCACATTCTTGTGTGTTCTCAACTATACCAGTTCTAACAGTATCAGCATCTCTAAATTCGGTGTAGACAATGGCATTCAGCCATCTTTTAGGAAAAGATCTGGTAGACAGAAAGAATTTTATCTGGATGAATGTGGCACTCCTCTCATTTTGGGAGAACAAAAGTATACTTAGAGAGGAGGTTGAGCCTAAGAAAAGAAGAGAGGGAAGAAAATGCAAATATTCTTAAAATGCAAATAATTTCTAGAATAGGGTTTCATACAGTGTTGCCCTTTCTACCACTTGTATTGGACTTGAAAATCCAAAACAGATTCCTTTTTTATTTTTTTTTACAGCTGTGCATTGTTTTTATATTAAGTGGAGTCAGCAAAAAGCGATATTAAAATACCAGTCAAGTGTGAAAAAGCATAACCTAGAGCAATAAGATTTATACCTGAAAGAATGTTAAAGCTGCCATTTAAGATTTTTAAGTTTCGATGCCTTTGACTGGATATCATTCTATACTCTGTCTGCATAGCTAATGTAGTCTTTTTATTCTGTTATTACTAGTTGGTCACTAAATTGAACAGAGAAATAGAATTGTGAAAGTGAAAACTATTATGTTTCCAGTTCTGACAAGATGATAGTGCTGTTGCTTCCATCAGTTTCCAACAAGCTATAATTTAGAAATAATGACAGTGGAATGCGCAGTACTGACAGATAATGTACATTCACTGCAATATAGGCATTAGGCAAAACCAGCCCTGGAGGGTGGTATTTGGGTAAAAATACAGTTTTGATTGCTATTGTCTCTACTATGTAGTGGCTTGGAGCATTTAATATCCATTACTGTTCAGCAATGTATTTTCTTAGGTGTTATACCATCTAGTGATGATATATATGGAGTTATGTTTTTCAGACTACAGAGTTAAAGATTATAATTCTGTGTCCATGCATTTCTGTTTTCATTCTTTCATGTGTCTTTTGTGCTGATACAGATAGAGGATCACTTGAAATATGTACCATATACTTTTATAAAAAAATGAGTTATTGTTGCTAGCTTGAAGTTAAGGCACTAACTATTCAAATTTTCTTCAACCTCATGGTTTATAGAAACATCACAGTATGTATTCCATGAGTAAAATTGTAATATTGAAAACAGCACATGGCGCATGTAAATCTGCACTATTAACTTTTTGCATTTTCCCCTCTCCTGTTTTTACATACACATAACTTTCTTTCCTATATATTCATAGGTCAAGCAGAATGTCCAGATTAGCTGAAATCCCACTTTTCCCAGAAACTTAGGAGTCTCATCGATGTAGAAGAGACACTTAGATTCCCAAGTACCTGGTGGAAGGCTTATGAATTTAGACTTACACATCTTTACAAATTTTATCCGCTGTGTCCTTTCACTAATGCTGTCAGGCTGCCGAGATGTGTATGCACTCTTCTGTTATCTGAAAATAGTAGTCAGTGTAGCAGTCGTGAATATGAGAGAATTGAACTGCTCTGTAAATTAATCCTGGTGACTTTCATGACAAATGTTCATACACATAAATTACAAAACTAAAGTTTCCAGTAGGTCACTGGAAACAGAAGGTGAATAAATGCAGGCCAAATACTGGAATCATTAATTAGTTTTGTTGCTCTGTCAGATAAAAATCTCATATACATAGGTACATTCAAATTTCTAGGTTCATCAAAGACAGTAATGAGGATTTTATTTTTTGGTCCTAAAAGTGAAAGATGCTTCATTTCCTAGCCTTTACGGTCCAAAATTTGACTCTGGAACACTGACAATGCCTCCATCAGCATAGCTGGCACTCTGCCCAAGGTGGGGGCAGTGGCATTTGTGAGCTTTGTACTATCCTGAAGCAGGTGTGACCATATGAACTAGCAACTGTTTGAGTTACACAGAGTAACTTTATAGGAAAATGCCTTTATAGTCATTGCAGGTTTTGCACACTTGCTCGGAAGGGCTAACACAATGGGCAGTACCAAGCAGTGCAAAGGCTAGTTTCCTCAGCCCTTCTTGCATGCTAGGATAGGACGATAGGCTTTCTGTGGTTTCTGCAGCAAAAGATAAAAAGGACTATTTTCAGCCAGCATGAATATTCAGGTAAACTTAACTATATTAATCTACGATATGAAGACAAAATAAAAATAATCTCATAAATAACTCAACAATGATTATTCAGGCACATCTAAATGAAGTGCATGTATACCTTGGAAATAACTTGTTCAGAAATCCTGGATAGCTGATAATGCTACTGCTGCATAGGGAAAAATACCCAGTTTGCTGATGGCCAGCAATTCAACAGACAAGGCTTAGCTGTTTGCTTGAAAAGTATGTGAGTAGTTTCAATGGAAGGTTCATGTGTTTTTGCCAGTGGAGATATTTAACACTGTCTTTTGTGCTAATTTTTTTTCCCCATAGGTACGTAAGGAATATGGTAAATGCTTCCGACATTCCTACTGTTGTGGTGGACTACCAACTGAGAGTCCCCACAGTTCAGTGAAGGCATCAACAACAAGAACTAGTGCTCGCTATTCCTCTGGCACTCAGGTAACAAAGATTTTGACAGCATCTTTTAATTAACTTTATTTATAAAAAGCCTACTGAGATGTGCTCCAATCAGAAGCACTAATTGTGTTCTCATTATTATCATTTAGATGGCAAATACATACTTCTGCATAGTAGAATTGATTTCTTTTAAAATATTTCCTTTTACTTTGGTCTAATGCAAACACCTTATTTTTCTTGTAATTAGGGGCTGGTTTATAGGAAGGTTTATACCCTCATGTTTCATCTAAATGAAATTTAATAAATTAGGGTTTTAATAACAAAAGGAGTTCCATTACGTGCTAGAAGAATGGCTTACTTTAGGCCAAAATAAACACAAATATTCCACATAATAGCATGTAAGTAGGAAAAAAATATTTTTGTAACTTACTGTGCTTCTGTCTCACTGCTTTATGTTAACAGAGTCGTATAAGGAGGATGTGGAATGACACTGTGAGAAAACAATCTGAATCGTCTTTTATCTCAGGTGACATCAACAGCACTTCAACACTTAATCAAGGTCAGTCACTGGGAACATTTCAGTTTTAGAAGCCTTAAATTTTATACAGATTCTATACCATTTAACACAGAAGAATTGAAAAGAATGTTTTGGAAAAAAAAATAATCTGGAACAAACGTTCTCTAAAAGCAGAGTTTTAAAGTCATACACTAGCACATTTTAAAACCATGTTCCCTTAACTGGCCCCCTGCTATAGAAGTTGAATTCCTCCATTCGTGGGAATGTATTTAAATAAGTTTCATCAATAATTTAAAGCAAGATTGTAATTTTAAATCTTCCCTAACCTTTATAGGTTAAATCTGAAACAGAAATATGAGTGCAGTAACATTTTAATGCGTATTTGACTATGATTTTTAGGTGCAGAAATTTTCCCAGTGAAATCTAATTGATATCATTTCTATGCAAAAGATGTCTGTAAAGCATTTATCTTTTCTGTTTCAAAGAGCATCGTATCTGTCACATGGGATAGAATCCAGATTTTCAGGCACAGAGAAGCCAAAACTCCAAATTTCTCAGCTCAAATAGACTTTGAAATCTGTAATGTCATTCTCATGTCCAGTTAGAAGACAAGGGTATTAACTGAGACAAAATGTCCCTTCCTTTCTCCCCTTCCCCCTGTGTTTTTTTAAGGCAGTTTGAGCTAGCAGTGGGGGGAAGACTACTCTGTGCAAGCCAAGTTCAAAGCCTGTTCTTCCACCCACATCCCTAGGAGAAGAACACCTAGCCCTGATCTCATTGCGACCGGTTCCTGCTCAACTCAGAAAGTTTTGAACAGAAAATTCACCACTGTGAGGGCTGCTGTAAAGCCCTCATAAACCACAACTAGCAATTTTTCCTCCTTTGTGTTTTTTTCAAGATTTGGTAGTAGGGACGTGTACTTAACTCACATTCATTTAAGAAGTAGAATATATGGTATTTTGCAAAAGAAAAGATTTCAGAAAACATGATTCTATTTTTGTTATTTGGCATATAGAAAGTGGGCAAGACCTGTTTGTCTCTCTGCTCCCCACATCTGAATCTTGTATGTTCCTCCGGCAAAATCAAAATTAAGTAACTTCTCCTAAGTAGAAAATGTGTATTTTTCATGCCCAAGAAAGAAGTACATTCCCTTCCAGTGTCTTACTAAAATCCCATAAATACACTGTAGATAAAAGTCTGGGATTTCACCCTTATTTGATGCCTCTGACTCCTGAGGTTTGTTCTAACCATGCTGCACCCCCAGTTAATTGAGAGTTGAACAGAGGTCTTGGAAGCTTTTCCCTGTTCCAGAGCTCTAGTCTCAAGTCCTGGAGATGTTCTGCCATGATTAGAAAAACTAATATAATCTTTATTCAATTATAACATTGTCACTATCTCAGTGATACCTACATATAAGGGTAGTTTAGTAATTAATGGCAAGTACCATTTTTCCTTTAAAATAAAAATAAAGCTTTTAAAGCTGGCAAAAAAATTTGGATTGAAAAAGAATTCTCTTAACTATAAATTGCAGATAATAATCTAACTGAAATTAAACCTAGTACACAAAAAAAAACCCAAGCAAAATATATTTCAGCTAGTATTTCTAGTAATAAGTACATTACAACTGAAAAAAGCTATGATAAAACCTTAGTTGTTCAATGATACAAACTTTCAAATAAGATTAGCATAATCAGGCAATAATTCTCTGAATCCTAGAATTCTGCTCATTTCTGCTACTAAGTATCTACAGTAGTACAAAAGCATTAATATTTGGAATACATATTCTCTTTTCCTTGCCAAATAAAAATATCCATACTATAAAAATATAGCTGGCTTTTTAGTTGTCCTTGAGTCTGTAATACACTCATCCTGGTACACTGCTGTGCAATGCAGTAGAAAAGAAAGTGGAATTTACCTTAATGAAATGTTTAAAGTAAGTTTTAAATCATAGCATTTTGGGGGGGTTTTTGGGGGGGAACGGGGGGGGCAGATCATTATTCCAACCCATTTTTCTTCTAGTAGATTGAAATCAGAGATTAATTGACTTTTTAATAATTTATCAAAATATGGTGATTTTTTTTCTAATTATTCTTAGAGATGTTTAAATGTTGTTGCATTAACATGTAAAATGGGTTTTAAAAAAATCTATTCAGGTAGTATTTTGCTTTATCTTACATTGTTTGTAAACTGGTTGTTTAAAGCAAACCTGTCATTCGAGGAATTCTTTTTTAAAACCTGGCAGATAGATTTGCAGCATGAATGTCCCGGGAGAAAATGTGAATGCTCTGATTTCTTAGAGCAAATATTTTGCTTTCCCCTCAGCATGCATACTTTTGCATATACTAAGATATGCTTCTTGCAGTTTGTCATCCACTGTCTGTTTGAAAACAGCAATTCCCTTCCACTATCTGTGTGTTTTTAATAAAGTGAATAACAGCTCTGATCCTGTCATAAGAGATTTTTCAATACCTTTCAATTCGAGAAACTCAGTTCTCTCAATTCTGGACAGAAGTGTTCCAAATATTCATTTTTAAAGTTATAGTAGCTTTATGTAGTACCTTGATCGCTACACATTTAATTGCTATTCTTGTGTAACAGTGATTTTGTATACATTAGTAAATGTCACTCTCACCAGATGTTTACTTTGGGGATTTGGACAGCACCTGTGAATTACTGGAATCTAACTGTATTTTCCTGCTCCCAATTCAAATACATAGCTCAAATACATTCAGAAATTTTCAGCTGAATTACATTTGACAAGTCCTACATGATTCATGATGAATAAAAAGTATTCTTTATTGAAACTGTCAGCCTAAAATTAAAGAACTGACATTTTTTTCTGTTTCTTTTGCTTTAGGAATGACTGGCAATTACCTACTAACAAACCCTCTTCTTCGACCACATGGCACTAACAACCCCTATAACACATTGCTCGCTGAAACAGTTGTATGTAATGCCCCTTCAGCTCCTGTGTTTAACTCACCAGGTGTGCTTATACTTCCTGAATAAAACCGCTTTTCTTGGCTCGCTCCAAATCCCTTCTTTTCCCTAGATAGAAACTCAAGTTGCAATACGCTAGCTGTACATTCTGAATTTCTGTCAGTTTGAGAAATACAGTATTGCCAATGTCAGCTTGTAAAACTGCACTATATTATAGTAATGCCTTTGCCATAACAGTATTTACCAATAATTATCCATGTTTTTAACACAGGTGGCATAAATCTTAATATACTATTACAGGACTGACACCACATGGTCTGAGAGCCCATCTTCAAGATATATATCACTTAGAGGTATCATGTCTATACAATGTAAGGTTGACTCTAAAGCTTGCTGAGAAAAACCTGCTTGTGGAACAGATCAGATACTAAAGCAGTGCAAGGCATCTTGACACCTTTGGATACCCCAGTGTAGAAAATTGTATCCAGCGTCAAACAGATCTAAACTATAGTATAGTGCAGCTTTATGGTAGATCATTTTCCTGTAGGAAAATCTTGAGATTAACAGTTAGAACAGTTTAGTTCTGTAGGAATAAAGGGTGTCATCACTTACTTAACTTTTTGTTGTTACATTCTCTGGTTGCTTTTTTTAACTGCGGTGCAATTCATCAGTAAATATCCAGCAGTTACTGTTTGATGAGTCATAAGATCACTTTAGTATAACTGGAATGATAAATCTTTGAAAAAGAGCTCATAAAACCTTGTTTCCAGTTTTTATTTCAAGATTCCTTTTTAACTGAACTGTAGTTTCTATTTTCATTCTCTTGTTTTCTTACTTTCCTTATGCTTTCCTCTAGCAACCTACAGAGAGACAAGTATGGGAGTAAAACTTAACTTTGCCTATCAAATGTAAATTTTTTCAGCATGATTTTTAATGGGCACAATTAAAACATAACTAGCGGTCATGAAGTAGACTCAGCGGGCAAGTGGTTCACAATTTGCAAATGAAATGTTTCCGCATTCAAAAAGTACTTGCATACTGCTTTTTGGGAAATAACATGAGGTCTGTAGCAAATCCTGTCGGTAACAGAAGTTATGCAATGCTGAAATCATTTGCTGTTTAAAACCAAAGCAATATCAAGCAGAAATGCTTAACAATTTACTTATATTTTTACATTCCCACAGCAATCTTGCTACAGGCTATGGAAAGATTTCAAATGAATTACCTGATCATGGGCAACAAAATTTGCCTCATCAAACACATTTGAATATATTCTAGCATGCTTAACTCTGCAGTATATCATAGAAAACTCATTTTGGATTATCAGATATATTTTGGTATCTGTTTAGCAGAATAAAAAAGAATTAAAATTATAGAATTAAATCACTTTCATGAGGGAAATGAATGCCAGCATGTGGTCCATGTGTTGTCTACTTTTATAAATGCCATATGTTCTGCACAGCTAAATCCATTGCAAGAAAAATCTTGGAACATATATGAAATTGCAAACTACAAAGTTGTTTAATCAAAGCTTAAAGAGACCTTTCAAACAGCCCTCATCACTGTTTAAATCAGTACACATGGAGAGGAGTTAACAATAACGCAACTACAAAATGATTTGCAAATTGCTCCGAATTTATTTGGAAATTATTACTCTGTTTTTTAAAGTTGAAGACAAAAATCTTTTCATGAGAAAATGCAATTACTTTTTAATTGAAAACAGTATTTCCAGAGAAGATTGAATTTTCTAGGATAAGCTGCAGCTTTAATTACGAAAAAAACTCACAACGGGAAAATGTATTATCTTTTCCAAAACAACTTTTTTCTTATACTCCTCCAAGCCTTGCATATAATGCAGCAGCTTCACAGTGGTCAGTCTCATTTCAGTAGTCACTCCATTCTTTCTTTACTTCCAGACATATCTGTAGATAAAGTGATTTTCTAGGAATGATCAAACCATCTGACTTTCCATGATTCAGACTGTTTAATTTCTTTCAAAGTTGGTTTTTTTTTTTTACTTTTTCCTTTGCTTGGGAAGCACTGTGCTGTCATAGTTTACATGTCTTTGTGTCTATAGGAAAACCTTTTCTTTATGGTGTTACCAAAAAAAAAAAAGCCAAAACCAAAAACATAAAGACCTGAATCATCATAAGACTTCATTTTTTTTCCCCCCTTAAACTTCTTTTCATGTTTCCAGCAGACTTACCCAATCTGTCATTCCTCCAGCAGCTATTAGATATCAGCCATGGCTGATTTCCTCTTCCCATTCCACAACTAATATTTATTCTTTGATTTAATTTGTGTGACCCATACTTACAGAAATTCCTAACATTTCTGCATTTGACTTCCATGCCCATGGTAACTGTGGGCCTAACTCTTAATTAACTATTCTGGTTCATTCAGCGCTGTCACTGTGACTGATGCAGACTGCAGGCAAACTTTGACCTTTAGAAGCCTGGGGCCATTGTTGGCAGACAGAATATTAGTGCGAAAAAATTACATTAAGTGGGAAAAGAAAAGCTGTTATTGCTTAGTAATCTGATTTGCTGAACCCTTGCTCTGACTAAGTTGCTGAGAAGCTCAGTAATTCTTCATCATGTTACAATAAATCATTTTACTTTCTTTTATATATCAGCTACTCTTAGGCCAGATAGCCTGAGCAGACAGACATGATGTGAGTTGTCCAAAGTGAGTCATTCCACCTGCTGTCTATCGTGTTGTTGGATGGTGCTTGCGGGCCCTGGTCCCTGTAGTGTGAAAGATGGCTGTCCTTGTTTAACATAAATTCTTTGTATTTATCCATTTTTTTCATTCTTTTCTTTACTTCATCTCAAAAAAAAAAAAAAAGGAAAAAATGTTAGAAATGTTGTTAAAATAGTTGCTTGCCGGTTATGTGGGTTTATGTTGTACATTTACCTTCAGTTATGTCTGTGATCTAATTCCTTTTTAATTTAGTGTCGTTTAGGACAAATTCTGTTAATTTTCTTTTTCTAAATCATGGTGGTGTACTTCAAAACATAGATGTTTCTAAATGAATTGCTTTGCATTACATATGCAAGGGCATGGAGTGAACAGTTCCTTGTGGAAGAGTCACAGAATTGACACTAAATTAAGAAATTAAAATGCCACTATTCCCCACAGAAAATAAAAGTTACTATTTTTAAAATGCATCTTTCCTATAAGGTGTGCAACTGTTTACATTTGGGAATGTTCAATAACCTAACTTCTCTCAAGTCTTACTTCCAAGTACAACTTTGTCCTGAACTACATTAAAGAATTTTGTTAAAAAAAAATACTAAGTGACAAGAAGCACATCAGGCAATAACCAGAGCTGTCCTTTTCCATTTCAGGACATTCACTGAACAATGCCAGGGATACAAGTGCCATGGATACTCTACCGCTAAATGGTAATTTCAACAACAGCTACTCATTGCGCAATGGAGACTATAACGACAGCGTGCAAGTTGTAGACTGTGGACTAAGCCTGAATGATACTGCTTTTGAGAAAATGATCATTTCAGAATTAGTGCACAACAACCTGCGGGGCAGCAGCAAGAACCACAACCTGGAGCGCACACTACCAGCCAAAGCTGTGATCGGCGGGAGCAGTAGCGAAGATGATGCCATCGTGGCAGATGCCTCATCTTTGATGCACAGTGACACCCCCGGGCTGGAGCTCCACCACAAAGAGCTTGAGGCCCCACTCATTCCTCAGCGGACTCACTCCCTTCTGTACCAGCCCCAGAAGAAAGTGAAGACTGAGGGAACCGACAGCTATGTCTCACAGCTGACGGCCGAGGCTGACGACCACCTCCAGTCCCCCAACAGAGACTCTCTTTACACGAGCATGCCCAATCTCAGAGACTCTCCATATCCAGAGAGCAGCCCCGATGTTGAAGAAGATCTCTCTCCCTCCAGGAGGAGTGAAAATGAGGACATTTACTACAAGAGCATGCCAAACCTAGGAGCTGGCCATCAGCTTCAGATGTACTATCAAATCAGCAGGGGTAATAGCGACGGCTATATAATTCCCATTAACAAGGAAGGATGTATTCCAGAAGGGGATGTTAGAGAAGGACAAATGCAACTAGTGACAAGCCTTTAATAGTGTAGCAAAGAAGTATTAAAGGCCACGTACAAGTATTAAAAAGACTTAATTGGCCCCATGCAGGCTCCCTCATATCTGCTTGAAGAGACAATTCTGTTGACCCTGTGGTTCTCCAGTAACGGGGATGACTGGACCTCGCAGTTCTGTGAATTTTTATAAAACAAAAACTTTGTATATACACAGAGTATACTAAAATGAATTATTTGTTACAAAGAAAAGAAATACCAACAAGGTATTTTAAGATATCTTCTGCTGCTGAATTTAACAAAATTGTGAAAAAAAGAGAAATAAACACTTTCCAGCCATTTTACTGCAGCAGTTTGTGAACTAAATTTGTAAATATGGCTGCACCAGTTTTTTTTTCTAGGCCTACATTGTATTATATACAAGGCGTAGGCTCTAAAATCCTGTGGGACAAATTTACTGTACCTTACTATTCCTGACAAGACTTGCAAAAGCAGGAGAGATATTCTGCATCAGTTTGCAGTTCACTGCAAATCTTTTCCATTAGGGCAAAGATTGAATACATGTCTAACCACTAGCAATCAAGCCACAGGCCTTATTTCATATATTTCCTCAACTGTACAATGAACCGTTCTCATGAAAAAATGGCTAAAGAAATTATATTTTGTTCTATTGCTAGGGTAAAATAAATACATTTGTGACCAACTGAAATATAATTGTCATTAAAAAATAATTTTAAAGAGTTTGAAGAAAATATTGTGAAAAGCTCTTGGTTGCACATACATTATAAGCTGTTTTTCTCACACTCTGTTCATAGTACCGTAGTATGTTTAAAATGCAAGTTCTACCCATTTTCACTTATTTTTTCACTGTAAACAGTGTTCTGCTTTGGCAGGTTAGTTTTTATTCTTACGTTTTGAATTTTTATTGCCAAAAATATAATTTGGGGAGAAAATTGTTTTAGAAGCCAATTATGCCAAGCCTTGCACAAATTTGGTATAGCTAACAAAGATTGTAACTCAATTCCCTGTTCATTCTTTAATCAGGGTTGGGTGGTAAGGGGTAAGGGGACACTGGACACTTCTCACAAGCTTTCTCGTGAATAAAAGGTGCCTGTCCTTTAAAAAAATAAATAAAACATAACTATTACTCTTCCATATTCCTTCTGCCTATATTTAGTAATTAATTTATTTTATTATAAAAATCTAATGAAATGTAAATTGTTTCAACAAAATTCTGCTTTTTTCATCCCTTTGTGTAAACCTGTTAATAAGCCCATCACTAATATCCAGTGTAAAGTTTAACACCTGTTTGAGAGTAAATAAATGTGAATTTTTTTCCAAATAGGTAAAATGTGCATTATTATGTACGAAGCATAATTGGCATCAGCAGTCCTTCAGCCCAGCTGTATCCTGCTTAGAATGGCTTCTTTACATTTCATGATTTAAGTGTCAAGAATGCAATAGAAACTGCCTGTATAGCTCTACAGAAGAGAGGTCATCCATACTATTCATTACTCTAGTCACAATTGAATAGGATTAAACTCAGACATAGCAAGGTCATTAGGAAAATGTACTGTAATTTCATATATTTACATAACTTTTAAGTAGGCATCTGTACTGAAATTAAAAATAAGGTGGTAAACACCACAATCATATTCTTGGCAACAGTAATTAGTAGTTAATTGTTACTGATGAAGATACATTGTTGCAGTGGGGAAAACATGAATAAGCAGCATTTGGATAGCACTCCGAGTGCTATCTAAATAATTAATCCATCATGGCACTGTTTTGAGTTAGATAAATAAGCCTGACTGTCCCTATTTTTATCAGACTAGAGAGCTGCAGAAGGCAGCTGATGCCCAAGATGTTATCTACAAATCAGTGGCAAAATTGGAAGTCTGAAGTCTTTGTTGTGTTGATTCCCAAGCCTCTTTTGTCCCTCTCAGCCGGGGCCTCTCAGAGATAACACCAAGGACTTCATTTGTCACCACTTCCAAAATCATGTTCTTCCAAATAACTCTAAAATTAATGCCCCGTCGTCACAGAGGCCATGGTTTCATGTGTGGCCACTGAGACTGTATGTGTAATAACAGCAAAATTCATTTGAAAGCACTATCAGTTGTTACCTTCTAATGCATTGGAATATATAAAGTCCATTTGGAAAATAAATCGATGCATTTTGAAAAGTTTGGATTTTGGAAGAATATTTTGGGCAAGACTTCCTGCTATTGAGACAATTCAAACTATAAAAACCAACAAAATCCAGGTTGAGATGGAAATGTGGGGTTCAGGTAACCTCAGTATATCTCTAATCAGGACTGTGACACTGGAGCAATTGTTCTTGAAGAAAAAGGGGCATCTCCACCATCCACAATTCTGGTAACTCTTGCCAGTATGTTCCTTAACACTTAAAAATTTCTATGTTTGCAGTAGAGTCACTTGAACATTTAAAATCGAATCAGAAACTGTTTACTTCTGTTTAGTAGAGATGCTTTAAAAATCTGAAGTCTCTATGAAATAAGAATTTGTTCTGATTCAGGGTATGCAGCAGACTCTTTGGAGCAAAAATTATTCCCTTGGTCTGTTAGGCAGCTTAAAAGCATACTTGCTGCCTTCTACCTAGGAAATCATGTCTTAGGGATTTAAAAATAGTGGTGCTCAAGTAATTGCAGTACACATGACCTAGTAACGTCGCCAACTTTCAGCAGAATCTTCAACCCTAGTTCAAGCAAGTACTCCTTTGTGTCATACTAAAGGTGCCAAAACTACATGCTGGAAAAAGGTTTGTAGCATTGTGATCTTAAATATATACTCAATTGCAAATGTAACAAATATTCATAAAACAAGAAAATGTAGCTGATGAACCTAAGATGAACCAGCTGAACCTAAGTATCATAAGGGAATTCTTTTGTTAGCTTCTTTGTAATGTAGATGTTGCTTTTTAGTGAGCCTGGTTTTTTTAATGTTATGCTAGTGAGTGTCCTGTGTTTAGCTAGGAGCTAGCAGCTGATACCTTACCAAATTTCTGTTGGTGTAACTTCTCAGTGTAGTAGGTTACAGTATAATTATATAGCCAACAGCTTATTGTGATTTCTTTATGTTCTCTTCTCACGTTCCTGCCATCTTGTCTTGGGATCAGAAGGACAGAAGAATTCGGAGGAAGAGTTTGAGAACAGCAAAATAATGACAGCAGAATTAATGGAAACAAGTGTTTCTTCAGGGTCATCAGTTAACCAGTTCCTATGATGGTGCCAAGGATATGCTGCTATTTTAGGCACTGTCTTTCAGAAGAGCTGTAATTTTCTTATGGCTAGTAATCTCCTGTTAGTATCAGTGTTAACCCTACTGGCTCAGTTCAGTTCTTCCTTGTAACTTCAGTCCAGTTATATTAATTCCTACAAAAGATTAAATGGGATGTGCATTTAGTGAACTGTTGTATAATGGTGCTATGCATTGTTTAATATAAAATACATCTCAATTCTACATAAGTGAACCATAACATGAAGAAATGCAACAGTGGTAATACCTTTATAGTTAAAATTAACCTTTATCTGTGAATTCTACAATACACCTTTGCTTCTTTTAAATTTGAAATGAAATTACTAATAAAGTTTACATATATTCACTTATGTAGGCAATAAAAGGTGTTTCAAATTAACAGAAGTTATGGATAAAATATGTGTCATATTTTATGTCCTAATTTTTAAGGAAATTTTTTTCTGAACTACTGAGAACAGACATTAACAGAAGAACAAAAGAAAGTAAACAGTTCCTGTGTACTGTTGTTACCCCACTTTGCCTCAAAACTAACAAAACTTGTCTTCCAGACTTGATTATATGACAACATATGCTAGTGTAAAGTTTTATCCCTGAATAAAATTATTTTTTAAATCAAGAGAAGCTACAGGTAGACAATTATATATGTACAACATCTTCACTGGAGTTTTAACTCATTAATTCTAGGGGATGATGGAGAATGAAAAGTGATGGGACAGCGCAGTAATTCTTCAGTTCCACCTCAACCGTAACCTTGCAGAGACACTTACACCAGGGAGACCACAGTAAAGCATACCTTAGATTTTTTTTAAATAGATGGTGACAGGCACCCTCCACATTTATGACAAGCATTGCTACCATTTCGGTAAGCCAGGGTCTTGCTGTGCGGCTGCACTATGAGATAAGGAGCCCAGATTTATGGATGGCGTTGGCATGCTGGATCTCTACTCCACAGCTACACCACAGGTTGGAATCCAGCTTTGCACTGAGTTGGGGATAAAAATTAGCATCGCCACAGCCCTAGAAGCAAGACATCTGTGCCTCTCGTTTATATAAACACTTTGTGAATTAGTAGGAATTCAATTAATGGATCCAGGTCAATCGTCCAGCTCCAACAAAAGTCTGGAGTAAAGGTTCATTAGGACCCTACCTAGTTCAACAGAGTTGGGAGGAGCATTTCAGTAAAACCCTTCATGTGTTTTTTAGAATGACAACTTCCAAATCCTTTTATTCATGCAGGATAAATTCTCAATGGTATTTCATTATTTCATGCCAAAGAGCATTAATATCTCTTTTTAACTCTATTATATCATCATTAATCTCAACCGCTCCCCATCAAAGTTCCTGGCATGTGAAACGGATCACACCGCAGTGCAGCCTGAGTGGTTATAAATGCTACCGAAAATCATACAACACTCAACTCAGCAGCAAGGAGATTTTAAAGGACCATTCCATATAATGCACCAGCTGCTGAAGTCATCAGTCCAGAATCCCAGACAGGGCAAGTAACAGTTGCAGAAATAACATTCAGAATAGGTAGTTTTTATCAAGAAACTTCTTCTACTACAAAGTTTATGTAATTCTTAAACATTTCTTGATTGGGTGCACACCTCCTTCTATGTGTTGGAGTAGGAGCCCTGGCACAATGTAGGCTCTGCACTGCCAAGCAGTTTAGAGACAGCAAAGCTGAGCACAAAAACATCTATGCACATTAAAAGGTCTGATTCACAAATAGGAAGCAGCATGTTAGTATCTGTGCAGGCTTTTCTAACAGAGAAGCAGGATCTCTGAATAAACAGCATTGAATAGCTATCTGGAGTAACTGTTCCAGTCCTCTTGTAGCATAAGAATTGCTTTAAAATAGCATAACGCTGCTGAACTTTCAGCCTCCATGGTTGCTTAAGAGAACGAGTCCCAAAGGTTAATGAGGTTTTAATGAAAATAATTCATTTTCATTCTTTTTAAATATACCACTTTGCTTCTTTTTTGCATTAGCAGGCTAAATAGAAACTTCTTAGCTTGTATTTTTTAGACCATTCATTGTTTCAAATACTTCCCCTCCATCTACTATTACTTAACTCCTTTCTAAACAAATCCTTGTTTTCAGCTTCCTCCATTTCTCTAATCATTTAGTTGCCAGTCCGCAGAATCACTTTTTTGTTAGCATGCTTTAAGAGATAGGGTAAGAACAAAATTATGGGTGAATTGTTATTGTTGATTTATGGATGGAATTGTATTTTTTTATTCTGTGGGTGTTTTTTTTTCCTACATGATCTCACATAATCTTTTGTTTTCATAGTATCTCTTCACAACACAATTTTTTCCACTAAGCTGATCATAGCAAGTAATGACCTAAATAGTTATGGTTAATTTAGAACCCTGCAAAGCCTACAAATACTTCCAATTAGTCCCTTGAATATGTGCCCAACGTTGTATTTGTCAGCATTGCATTTCGTCTGCATCACACTGCCCATTTATTCACTTTGTTCACCCAGATCATTCACAATCTTCCCTGGTTCTGATTAACTGAAATAGTTCTCTGTTAACAGCAAAGAGTGCCACCTTTCAGATAGCATGTCCTTCCCCTTTTTCAGATAGCACCAGTTTGAATAGAGAATGTTGGGGGCACTATGCCATTAGCCTTTTGCCATGACCAAAAAATTGACCATTTAATCCTGCTCTACGTCTTAGTTTCTAATGCACAACTACTTTAGCTCACACTTCCTCGATGCTGGTTTGCTTTAATGGCTTCTTGGTAGGGATATTTTTACAAGGATTTTTTTTTTCTTTTTTAAATCCAAATAAATTACATCAGCCATTCCCTCTGCTCTCAGCAGCTGCACAATTGACTTAATTGTATTATGTTAGAGAAGCACAATTTCCTTGCCCTAAGAAGTTACATCTCTTTCGGCAATGTTTCCTCTGCACTATGTGCTTAAATGTGGAGCTGCTAGATGTCAGACCTGAAAAGCACTTAACTGTTCAAAACAAAACTTAGGTGGAATTTAGTCATGAAATCCCAAGGTACATCATCCACAGGTACAACAGGCATTACTTCAGGGGCAG